CCAGGGGGTGCTCACGACAAAGGTGCCCGTAGCTGGCGTTTTGCCGCTCCCCGCCGGCCGGGCCTCAGGACGAGCGCGGGCCACGCTTCCAGGAGGGCCTCTCCGAGCCCTTCAAGGCGCGCGAGGAGGAGGAGGAGGAGGAGGAGGAGGAGGAGGAGGAGGAGGAGGAGGAGCAGCAGGAGCAGGAGGAGGAGGAGGAGGAGGAGGAGGAGGAGGAGAAGGAGGAGGAGGAGTAGGAGGAGGAAAAAAAAAGAGGAGGAAGAAACAGAAGAGGAGGAGGAGGAAGAAGAAGAGAAGGAGAAGGAGAAGGAAGAGGAGGAGGAGCAGCAGCAGCAGCAGCAGTAGCAGAAGGAGGACGGGGGAGAGGAGGAGGAGGAGGAGGAGGACGAGGAGGAGGACGAGGAGGAGGACGAAGAGGTTAGGCTAGGCTGTGCTAGGCCAGGCTAGGTCAGGTTAGGTCAGCCCCGAGGGGAAGAGACTCGCAAGTCTGAGACCAGTGCGGGGTGGCACCTCTCAGAGGGGATGTTGTCACCCTGGTGGGGACGAAGAGCCCGCCAGGGCGAGGACAGGGTGCTACCCCTAAGCGACATTAGAAGTCCACGGCCTGAGCCTCTCGGGCCCAACCTCTCTCTCTCTCTTTATCTCTCGCTCTCTCTCTCTTTCTCTCGATGCGCTGCCATCCTCTGCTCGCACAGGGGAGCAACGCTCTCACTGGAGAAGGCCGAGGAAATCGCAGTACGGATCAGGATCTGACTCTTGGTCTTGGGTACAGCAGCCACCCTGCTGGCACAATCAGTTGAGTCAATGAACAGCCTGACTCTGTTGTTGGGCCCCAGTCCGCTGCGATACGTTCAGATCACGTCGATACCTTTTCCGAGACGGGGGAAGGCATGCGGGAGAAAGATTTTTAGCGCAACGTTGGGCCCAGCAACCATCGAACCCACGAAAATTGCAAACGGGTCCGTTTGGACGCAGGGGGTTCGGGAGATCTGGGGTGGACCTCATCAGACGCAAACCTAACAAGAAGGTGGCCCTGGGGCCGGCTGACGATACCTGCCACTAAACTTGACGGGGGGGGCAGAACATCCCGGAGCCTCTTGGCGGTCGCCGCCATGGGCGATCATCAAACAAGGCGAACACTGCAAGGAGGAAGAGGAGAAGGAGGAGGAGGAGGAGAACAAACGTAACAGGCTCGCACCTAATGTTGGCCTAACGTAAAAAGGAGGAGGAGGAGGACGAGGAGGAGGAGGAGGAGGAGGAGGAGGAGGAGGAGGAGAGGAGGAGGAGGAGGAGGAGGAGGAGGAGGAGGAGGAGGAGGAGGAGGGGGAGGACCAGAGTAAACCCAAGATGTAGTACGACGCTGCAGTACACCCTCCCGTCCCAAGTTCCCTCTTCACGCATCCCTGCAAGCCTTGGCTTCACTACATGACCAGCACCATACAGGTCGCACATGCGGACTTGGATGTGTCAGTCGACTAAACGAGTGGCGCCCGGGCGCCTCTTCCCGGCCCCGCGCGCGGCCGCCCTTTGGAGCGTGTTGGGAGTTGCGTGACTGCCTGCTGCCTGGGCATATCGTTGGGCCGTCTGGGCGAGGAAGAGCGCGAGGAGGATCAGCATGTGACGGGGGCGCCTGGGCTGAGATCTAGAGGGGCGCCCTCTGGGCAAATGGAAGGGGCAGCGCTTACCCCTTTCCCTCGCATTCCAAGCCCCCCCGTGGAGCACAACTCGCCCGATGAGGTCCCTACCTCTTGTCCGAGGAGCGGGCTGGCCGCGGGGGCCCGTGGAGGGCGGGAGGGGCACCCGCAAGCATTAGGGCGCACCTCATCCACCCAACGGGCCCCCCAAAAAACCCGCCACTCGCGCAGCGGCCGCCGCCCTGCGCCCGCATCGCGTCCATGAGGTCCTGCACCCGCAGCGCCTCGTCTGCAGCGAGCTCCTGCCTGGCGAGCTTTCGATTCGCATTGCAGCTGACGCATCGTCGAGTCGAGCAGGGATGGTCCCGCTCCGCACTCCTCCTCCCCCACCTCCTCCTGTAAAGAAAAACATACTCGCCAGCACTTGGACCGAGAGATGCTGACGCCGTGCCCGATCAGGCCCGCCATCGCCGCTCTCTGTGCTCGCTCTCTTTCCGCACGGAGGGGAATTGCAGCCACCATTGGGGGATCACGCCCGACTTCGGTTTCGGAAGCGGCTCAATGTTCCGAAGAGCCGTCCACGGATAGTCCGTTGGCATACCTCGTGCATCTACGCGCAATTGGGGCCCAAAGGGTTTTGTTCCCTGTTCAAGGCCCCCTTATGTTGAATTCTACCGTAGCTCTGGCCGCACAAGGAGCGTCCGTAGCATCTTGAGAGATCGACCTCGGGCTCGCCAGATGTTCTCCGAGGGCTAATGGTCCCCGCTGGAAAAATCCGTCTTCGGTACAGGTGGCTCAGCATTCGTCACGGAGTGCCACTGTCAGACGCTTGTTCCAAACTTGGCACGACGTCAAGCGTAAGGAGTACTGCGAGGACAAGGGAGTTGCTCTGTATTTTCTGGGTGCTCTCTTGCCCCGCGTGTGGATAGGCCTAACCGCGCACGCTGCCAAGTGGTCTGGGCGGCAACGGACGCTGAGCTCGAGAGAGCGTCGCGCCCCGTGGCCGTTTTTCGCCCGAAACGACTGCTGCACGGCATCGGGGCGTGGTAGCGTGCCTGCGTCTGCGAGGGGCGGCTCTGGCCAGGCTCCGTTCCGACCGGGTCGCGGGGCCCGCGCCCGCCATGGCGGTGGAGCGCCTCGCGGCGATGGGGCAGGCGACGGCGCGGCCCCCGGCAGGGACGGAGGCGAGGGGCGGGGGCGAGAGAGGAGGCAGCGGCTCCAGCAGGGGCGCGGGCGGGGAGGGCGAGGCAGCGAGGCAGGGAGGCAGGACGACTGGAGAGGGAGCAGCGGCACCGAGCGGGGCGCGGTGAGGTGGAGGAGGGGGAGGGGAGGGGAGCGGAGAGCGGGGCAAGGGAAGCGACTGGAGGAGAGGGGTGGGGAGAGGAGGCCAGGGGAGGCGGCAAGGGGGGGGGGGAAGCGAGCAGCGGGGGGAGGGCCCAACGCGGTGCGCTGGCCGCCCCGTGTGGTGAGTCGGTGGGGGATCCGTGGTGGCCGCACGGCCCCAAGACCTGGGCTGCTCTCCGGGGATCTCTCGTGCGACCAGGGCCTCCGAGGTCACAACACCGTGCGATGGCTGACCGTGCGGTGAGGTCTTTGGGGATTCCGACGTCGCCGAACGGTCTGTCACCACACCGTCTCGGGAGCTCCAACAGAAGGGAATGGTCGTTCCCTTGCCTCACGCCTCCCCTCCCCGCTCTGCACTGGCGCATGAGCAGAGGAATGGCTGTCCATGAAAACGGGTGAGGGGGGAACCGTTTGGGAGGTGCGGCAGACATCTCCGGGATGGGAGCGGAGGGGAGGGGCGGAGGGGAGTGGAGGGAACGGAGACGGAGGGAGGGAGATGGAGGGGGGGAGGCAGGGATGGAAGGGAGGGGTCGAGCGGAGGGAGGCAGGGGCGGAGGTGCGGGAGGCAGCATCCCGCGAGCAGGGCAGGACGGCGGGAAGGCCGAGAGGCGCCGTGCGGCCTCGAGGCGCACTGCATCGCCAAGCAAGGCCGCAGCGGGGCCTTGGCGCGGCATCCCCGTGCGGCGTGGGGGCGCGGAGGTGGCCGCGCGTCTTGCGGGCCGCGGGGCGCGAAGGGAGGAGGAGGAGGAGGAGGAGGAGGAGGAGGAGGAGGAGGAGGAGGAGGAGGAGGAGGAGGAGGGGGGAGGGGGACAAGAAGGTGGAGGAGGAGGAGGAGGAGGAGGAGGAGGAGGAGGAGGAGGAGGATGGGGGAGGGGGACAAGAAGGTGGAGGAGGAGGAGGAGGAGGAGGAGGAGGAACGGAGAAGGTTTGGGCGGCCCGGATGCGGTGCCTGAAGCCTGGCGCCGTGCCCCAGCAGATCCCTGCGCGGCGGCATGGCCAGACTAGCTAGGATGCTGCTGCTCTCGGGGAACGAGCAGTGGCACAAACGTGCTCGAACCTGGAGCTCCGCGCGGATTTCTCGTGTCCCGAGGTGCCGAAGCCTTGGGCCGTTCGCATCCTGGGGCCAGGTCGAAGCAAGCAACGAGCTCCGCGGGCTCCATCCCTGAGATCCGACGTTGCGCGAAAAGAAGACGGCATCGCGAAACAACTCGACCAGAGCCCTGTAGACCCCATCTTTCTGCTGCAGGTTTCGAGCTGGCTTGATCCGTGAGGGCCTCGGGGCCCGAAACCCAGACCCCCGACGTCATGATGTGTTCACGAAAGTCGACCCTCAGAGGTCTGGAGCCATTCCCCGTGACCGGTTCTGCATCCTGAGTCGTTTTTTGACCGTCCCGAGGCCCGGTAGGGGACCCCCGAGGCCGAAGATTGCGAAAAACTTCCCGTCGTGATTTCTTCGTCACGCGAGGGGGTCTGGGAACGGGGCGAAGCCGCCCGTTGTGCAACGATTGCGACGCCAGGACCTCAGGGGTGCCTGCAGCCGTCTCGGCCCTGGGCGCCTGCTGCCCCGCCGGCGGAACCCCCTGGGGCCCCGGGCGCCGTCGCTCGGGCCGGACGAGAGGGGGATAGGGAGGGGAGGGGGCCTCCTCCTCCTCCTCCTCCTCCTCCTCCTCCTCCTCCTCCTCCTCCTCCTCCTCCTCCTCCTCCTCCGGGCAGCTGGTTTCGGCCCCCCCCTGCGGGGCCCATTCCTCGATACATGGGCGCCTCCTGGCGTCAGGAGGTGCCAGGAAAAGCAGCTGCGTGAGCTGATTCTCTACGCTGCCGTCGGCCCTGATTAGAAGGTCGACCCTGCCAAATCAAGGGTGCCCTTGTGTCCTGTGTCTCGCGACCCATGTCCTCAGAATTCCTGTGGCAATGTGGCCCGCAGAAGGGTCCTGTGTCCTCACGCGTGCCCTCTCCAATCAAGTCCGACTATACCCTTTGCTCCCCTTCCCTTCCGTCCCCCCGAGCGCCATCGTGCCTGCCATGCGGCCCGCCTCCGCACGCCGGCCCGGGCGCAGCCTCGCAGCTGCAGCGGCGACGCTCGCGGCGGCAGCAGCGTGGTGTGGGGGCGGCCCCTCGGCCTGGCTGGCGAGCGCGCCGCAGAGCCGCGCGGGGAGGTGGCCGGTAGCGCCAGTTGGAGTTGCCAGGCGCCGCCGTGAACCCAGAGATCCGACGCTCCGAAACATTAGAGCGGCTGGTGTTTGGCCGTTTTCGGCCTCTGGAGGCCCTCGCCGGGCCTCGGGACCGTCAAGAAACGACTCAGGACAAAAAGCTGGCCCTGGGGAAGTGGTCCAGACATCCGGGGCCCACGCATCGAAAAAAAGGGAGCAGCCGGATGTCTGGGCAGAACTCTGTTATTGAGATCCTCTGCGACGTATTCTTGTTCGCAGCGGGGGACTTTGCCTTGTGCCGGGGCCTGGGACCTTGGCGGATCGATCCAGCACAGGAGTTGGCGCAGAAACCTCCGACCCCCGCTTCCAGGTCGCCATGAAGGGAAAGGCGGGAGCCTGGTGGAGAGGGGCCGGGAGGTTTCTCACCGTTTTAGGGCTCCCGGGACCCCTCCCCCGGGCCCAGGAGTAGCCGCCGGAGAGCGGCTCGGGATGCAGAGTTGGTCCGGGGGAGTGTCCAGGACCCGTTTCCTCCAGGCTCCCTCATCCCCAGGCCCCCCACGTCGCGTTGTTCCCCACATCCTAAGGTGGGATTATTGCTGTTACTTAGGCGCCTCCCGACCTTCCTCCTCCTCCTCCTCGTCTTCATTCTCATGCCACTCAGACAATCATTCTGATCACTCACACCCACCCATCACGGGGCCCATCACAGACCCATTCTTCACGGTGTCCATCACAGACTCACTCTTCCTCGCGCAAACTCAGCCACATCACTTCCTCACTCAAACTCACTTAGACTCAGACTCACTCTGACTCACCTAAACCCACCCAGGGAAATAGCCTCAGACGCACTCTCATTCATTCACACTCAAACTCGTTTCCTCCGGCACATTCTCCCTCACTCAGACTCATTCAAAATTCTAAACGCTTCGCGCATCCCCACCAGCCACCGTTGTGGCCCTTCTTCCGCTTGTAATGTTAGACTCGCTTTACGATTTCCTGACGGTGCGCGGTTGGTTCCGCGACATTCGCGATCAAAAAGTATCCCCACCAGCCCATCCAGAAACGATGTCCAGGCAAGTTTAGGTGATCAGGGAAGTGCGGGAGCAAAGAGGGGGAAGGCCGAACCGTGCGAAGGAGGGATGAGGAGAAGGAGGAGGCTGGATGGATGGATGGATGAGAGAGTGGGGAGAAGGAGAAGGAGGAGGAGGAGGAGGAGGAGGAGCAGGAAGAGAAGGAGTAGGAGGAGGAAAGAGGAACAGGAGGAGGAGGGCAAGCAAAAGGGCCAAAGGTCTCTTGGATGCCTCTCGGGGCCTCTTGGGGTATCTCTTGAGCGCTTCTTGGTGGCCTCTTGGGACGTCTTGGGGGACTCTTGGCGGTCCTGGGGGGCTCTTGGGCGTCTTGGGTGCCTCGGGGGGGGGGGGCTCTTGGGGCCGCTTGAGGTCCTCTTGGGGGCCTCCTGGGGGCCTTTTGGGAGCCTCTTGGCGCCATCTTGGGGCCATCTTGGGGCCTCATGGGGCCTCCTGGGCGCTTCTTGGGGCCATCTTGGAGGATATCGATCAAAGAAGAAACGAGCTTCTTTTAGCCCTGCCCCCCCAAGAGGCCAACATGTGGCCAAAACCTTAGTAAAACCAATGATGTTGGCTTCCTCGCCGAGGCCGTTTTGGGCGCTCTGAATACCCGCGACCGGCCCCGTCCAGGTCCAGGGGAGGGGGTTAGGGAGGGGTAAACCCCTCCTCGAAGGGGAAGAGGGAGGGGTGGAAGAGGAAACTCCCTGAGCCACCTACGCCCAGAGGGCTGGTGGGACTTGCAAGTAGTCCACTGCTCACCACGCTATAGCAGTCGTGACACTGTGGCACCCTAAGGGGGAGCCGCCAGAGGTAAGGACACTCCAAAACTCGCGCTCAGATTGTGGGGACGTCTCAGGCGGTTCGCCTGCTTCTGCTCCCCAACAACTCCTGCTTCCAGAGCAGATTGTAGAAATGTTTCAGGCGAGGCGCTGGTTTCAGCACTCCCAATGGGAAGCCGCCAGGGGTGAGGATGTTCCAGGATTCGCGCCCAGACCGTGGGGATGTCACAGGCAATGTGCTGATTTCTGCCCTCCGACTTTGCCTTCGGGTGGCCCAATGCTCACCGCGACACGGCATGCGTGGAACTCGGGCACCCCAATGGGGGGGCCGCCAAGGGGGAGGACACTCCAGGGTTCGCGCCAAGATTGCGGGGATGTCTTGGGCGATTTGCTTGTTTCTGCCCCCCTGACTGTTTCTTTGGGTAGTCCAATGCTCACCGCGATATGGCGTGGCACTCGGGCACCCCAAGGGGGGGCCGCCAGGGATGAGGACACTCTGGGGTTCGCGCCCAGATTGCGGGGGTGTCTCAGGCGGTTTGCTTGTTCTTGCCCCGCAGACTTCTCTTTGGATGTGTGTGTGTGTTTCGTGTGCTTCTCACTCGCTCAATCACTCACTCCCTCACCTCCTTCCCCTTTTCCCCATTCCGACGCACTAGCTCGCATTCGGACTTACTCATCATAACCTCCTCCTCCTCATTCAGAGTCATTCATCACATTCAGACTCACTCACTCTCATCGTAAATCATAATATTCAAATTCATTCATATTTATTCGCTCACACTCAGATTCACCCAAACTCCGAGTTGTTCATACCCAGACATGCTCACATTCAGACTCACTCATACTCAGACTCACCCACTCTGACTCACTCATAAACAGACTACCTCACACCCAGGCCCACTCAGATGCAGATTTGTATCCATTACACTCAAACTCAAATTCACTTTCATTCAGACGCGCTCACACTTAGCTCCACTCGCGGTTAGATTCGCTCGCACTCAGACTCGCTCACACTCAGACCCACTCGTATTCAGACTGACTATCCACACACTCACACTCAGGCTCAGTCGGTTCCGGACCCACTCACGCTCCGACTCGCTGACACTCAGATCACCCACGCTCAAATACACTCGCACTAGCGCTCACACACCAGTGGCTACCGCGATATAGCCAGCGTGGCACTTGGGCACCCCAAATGCCAGCAGGCGCCGCGCGTAGCACGCCAGAGAGCGGGCGCAGCAGCGCCATGCGCGCCTGCCTGCGCTGCCGCGGGGAGAACGGCCGCGCCTGTCGTTTACGCGGAGTCCATCTCGACCCAGGATGCTCATAGGCAGAGCTCCTCAGCGAGACGCGACAGGAGTATGACATGCACATATGTCGCCGCGCCGTTTGTTCCGACGCGGGGGCGCGTATCTTGGGGAGGGCGCCGTGGCCATCAGGGCAAACTCCACCTCGGGCGCGGTGGGTGTGCCGTGCGGCGCCAGCGTCGTCTCTCTGGGGCGCAGGCGCAGGGATTACCATGGGTTTGCCGTGGTGTCGGCGTCATCCGCTTGGCCGCGTCGAGAACAAACGGTGCGGCGACATCTGGAGATCCCCTCCGCGTCGAGCAATCTTCACAGAAGGAAACAGTACCCATACTGCTACCCTTCACCCGTCTTCCCCTTTTGTGGCCTCCCGCGACGCCCTCGTCGCCACCTCTGGATTCGCCCCGAAGTTCTTGTCAGAGCGCACCCCGGGAGAAGTCCGGGGAGTAGCGGTATCGGCATCTTTTGATCTCCACCGGGGATATCCTCCGGGCCCCCCGATCCCAGCCAGGCGTCGGCATCCCCCCAACATACTTATACTATGTGTTCGTCGCCCCTCCAGGGGCGACGCGCGCACTGAGAAATCTTGCAGTATGTGCGTCGTGGCGGGCGCTTTCTGGCCACGCCGCTCGGGAAGCGATATACCACAGGATGGGCATACCGTATGTTCGGGTCGGACGCGCGCCTCTCCAAGGAGGACATGTAGTATTAGTATGTCCATGTGCGTCCCAAGGCGATCTCCCTCCCGCTCCCGCGGAGCGGCGGCCCGGGCTTCCGTCGGCGCCGAGGCCCTCGCCGCGGCGGCCGCTCCCGCGGGAGAGCCGGGGCTGCCCCTCGCGGGCAGCTCGCTGGCGCTGGCGGAGTCCCTCGGGGTGGTGCCCCTCGTGTTCTGGTCGCTGGCTGCGCTCGTGGCGGTGCTCGGGGAAGGAAGAGCTGCACAGTGCACTCCTCCTCCTCCTCCTCCTCCCTCCTCCTCCTCCTCCTCCCTCCTCCTCCTCCTCCCTCTCCTCCTCCTCCTCCTCCTCCTCCTCCTCCTCCTCCTCCTCCTCCTCCTCCTCCATCTCCTCCTCCTCCTCCTCCTCCTCCTCCTCCTCCTCCTCAAAGTGTCGGAGTTCCGCGCAGGTTTTCCTGGATCTGCGCTGGGGCCCCTCCTCAACGGCGCCTCCGGCGCCGATCCCAGAAATCCGCACGGACCTCCGCAAGTTTAGGTTTGCGCGGCGTGTGTTTCTTCCAGGTGCTGTTCCTGGCTGGCTTCCTTGCGGATTCCGAGGATGGCCCAAGCTCCGACGGCAAGAAGTGACGGGGCACGAGCGGGTCCCCGATGGCCTTGCGGCGTATATCCCCTCGTTTCAGCAAGGGCTCCCTCGAGGGCGCGAAGTTATTCGCGCTTCGCGCTTCGCGGTCCTCGTTCCTTCTCCCCCTCCTCCTCGTCCTCCTATTCTCCCTTTGGGAGGGCGGCGCGAGAGCGCGAAGTTATTCGCGCTTCGCGCTTCGCGCAGCGCGAAGCGCGAAGTTGGGAGCCCTAGTTTCAGGCAAGAGCGCGTATGATTTTTTAAGCCGGCATCGGGTTCGGTTTTGCGTGGGAGTTTCAAGTAGCCGCAGGCCCCGCAGGAGCTAATTCCTCACCGCCCTCTTTCCCCCACCTGCCGTGTTGAACCCCACTATTATCCAGCATCTGACGCAGGTGGCGCATCCCGAATTTATCGGGGATGTCAGACGACGCTTTTGCTTTCAGACTCACGATGCGCAAACAGGTGCTCACATGATCACGCCACCTGCTATTCCGTCCATCTAGAAAATGTGACCGCGTTGTGTTGCGCGTGCGTGGTCAAAGTTGCAGTGTCCTGGAGGATGACTGATTCCCGATGCAAATCTCAACGTGCTTGCAGTGTGGTGAGCGAATCCTGGAGTGACTCCTGCAGATTGGCATTGCATTGCTGGCGGGTGAAGATGTGGACCCCCTTGAGGCATCGGTGATACAAAATGCACATCGGTGAAAGCGCGTGTAGCCAATTGAGTAAAGAGTTAATGACTGAAATAATGTGGGCGAGAGGGGGGCACAGGGGGAGAAAGAGAGAGAGAGAGGGAAAGGGAGGGGGAAAGACAGAGAGAGAGAGAGAGACCATCATTGCACCCGAAGTATGTGTTCACTTTCACATCACTTCGCCTCCCAGTATCAGCATTCCCTGGACGGTGTCCACACGCCGCTTGTCTCGATCGCAGGAATCATTGTTCGCGCGCCTCTGTTGCATGATCTGTGGCACACATGCATACGCATGCGAATGGGACTAGACTTGCGCACACCCAGACATCTTCAGGACAAAAAAACAGCAAGTTTCAAGGATTTACGATTTCGTTCAAGAGAATGAAGAATCTGGGCTGGACGTTGGGCGTTTTCTTGGAAGTTGTTTTCTTTCATGTGGTGTTAGTAGATCTGGACCTGGAGCACTGTTTAAGAATACGCGTGGAGTGAAACCCATTTTCTTAGCTTAATTCTTTTAACTCGAAGCAGGGGTGCACTTTTCCCCAATTTGGCTTGCCTAAGGGGTTCTGTCTTGGTTAAAGGTTGGTGCCTCGGAGGTCTACTTTGCCCGTTCCTCGGAGGGTTCCCGGGTTCCTCGGGTTCCCCGCGGAATGTTATTTTGCCCGTTGCCCAGAGGTTCATCGGGTTCCTCAGGTTCGCTGGGTTCCTCGGGTTCCTTGGGTTCCTCGGGATCTTCGGATTCCCCGGGTTCTTCGGGTTCCTCGGGTTCCCCGCGGAATGTTACTTTGCCCGTTGCCCGGAGGTTCATCGGGTTCCTCGGTTCCCCGGATTATTTGGGTTCCTCGGGTTCTTCTGGTTCCCAGGGTTCCTCGGGTCCCCCGTGTTCCTCGACAATGCCAAGCAATTCCAAGCAATGCCAGGCGAAACTAAACAATGCCAAGCAATGCCAACCCATGCCAAGCAATGATAAGCAATGCCAAGCAGTGCCAAGCAATGCCAACCCATGCCAAGCAATGCCAAGCCATGCGCCCAGCGATGCACCCGTGCAATAGGGTTTTCCCTTTTTGAGGTCGCGCCAGGTCCATTACCAAAGAGGAGGTGGACCTGTGATCTCGAGCGCAGGCGGGCAGAGTGAGCAGCTGTTCTGTTGTTGCGTGGATATGTGGGCTTTGCCGCATACGGTCGCACCGAGGTATAAGGTCGAGGTCGGCTCGGGGAGGGCACCCTGATGTGTTTCGTGTTTGTTGGATGTTATTGTGCACCCTGATATTCTTGGTGTTTGTTGGATGTTCTTGTTCATCCTGGGGGAGGGCACCCTCCAATGTTCTTTTGCCTGGCTGGTGGAGGGTCTCATTTTCTTGAAGGATGTTCTTCTGTCTTAGGTCGGGCCGTACCAGTCGCGGCGCCTGCTGGTGGAGAAGGAGGGGGGGGGACGGGTGAGGAGGAAGAGGTGTGAGGTCAAGCCAGCCAGGTCGACCGAGGCAGCGGGCCCCGCCCATTCCCACCTTCCCTCCCATAGCAGAAATACATACAGACCTACTTACGTACCTACCTACAGACAGACAGACAGACATGTATACATGCATACATTCATATATTAACGTATGCACACATACTCGTACATACATACCTACATACATACTTACATACATACATGCATGCATGCATGCATGCATACATACACACCTACATGCATGCATGCATACATACATGCATACACACATACATTCATGCCAAGTGTGGCTCAGTTGGGTATGAAGACTTGGTCGCGTTCCCACCTAGCGAACGGAAGGCGCTCAGGGGTGGTCCTGGTTCCGACGATTTGGAGAGGGGAACAAGACGCGGCCCGCTCACGGGCGGTAGCTCAGATTTCTCTGCGCGGAGCTGCGGCGATAGAGGCAGTTAGCCCAGACGAAACATGCGCCGCGCCGAAACAGCATTGACATCCCCTTTCTCTCTCACGCCGTCCCAAGAAGCAGGGCAACGGGGTCTGTTGCACGAGCCCCTTCGCCGTATAGTTTTGCATTGCTTCTAGTGGTGAGTCCGAGATCTTCGGCAAGACCCAAGGACTTAATTTTCCTAGCCTCGAGGCGCCCTTGGCCTCGAAGCTACTTATCATCCTGTTCTTCCTCATCCTCCAACACAACGAGCATGCGGAGACGGGAGTCCACCTCCGCATTTCCACCGACAGAACAGAAAGCGGGGCAGGGGGGGCTGGCGGCGGGCGCGCCAGCGGGGCAGCGGAGGGGGAGGGGAGCGAGGCCACGCCAAAGTTGTGGGCGGGCAAGGGGCGACCGAGGCCGCGCCCAGAGAGAGCGGCAGGCGGAGGGCGGCGAGGCAGAGAGACCACATTTTTTCCAGCTCGAGAAGGTCACCACGCGATTAAAAGGAAGAAAAGGACAGCAGAAGGGGAGGGGAGGAGAGGAGGGGGAGAAGGCAGCAGCAAACAAGCAACGCGGGCGCGGCCCAGCCGGCGCCCCCGCGCGCCCCGGCCTTGCGGGGCGCGCGCCCCCGCCGCGCGGCCATGGGCTACGGCAGCCCCGAAGGCGCCGCCGCCGCTGCCCGCAGCGCGGCGGTGCAGCAGCGCCGGGCGCCGCTAGGCTAGCCGGGCCGGTCGCGCGTCCTCGACGGCTGCCCGCTGCCACTGCAGCGCCTGCCCGCGCGCGGCGGCCTCGGCCGCGTCGCGCTCCACGAGCGCCTCGGCGGCCGCCAGGAGCCGCCCCCGCGCCTTCTTGAAGCTGAGGCCGCGCAAGGCGACCCCGAGCAGCGGCGCGAGCTGCTGCGCGGTGGCCCAGCCGCCCGCGCCCAGGCGCTCGCCGAACGCCCCAGGTCAGCTCCGCGCGGGCGAGCGCGAGGCGGGCGGCCTCGTCGCCCCCGCCTGGGCCGGCGCGGGCAGGGGCGCGCCCGCCGCGCCCTTTGCGCCGCTGCCCACCGGCGAGCACGCCAGCGGCCGGCCTGCTGGGCGGCGCTGGCGCGAGCGGCGCTTCGAGCGGCTCTCCGGGGCCGGCTGCCAGCCCCCCCGCCGCCTCTGAGTTGCCCGGAGCGCCCGCGCCAGCGGGGCCGCGGGCCTCCCCCAGCCCTGGCGGCGCTCGCCGTGGCCGCGCTCCAGGGGGCGCTCGCCGAGGCCGCGCACGCGGTGCCGCGGGCCGCCTCCGCCGCGGAGGCGCTCGCCGCGGCGCTGGCCGCCGCGCCGTCTCGGCCGCCGCTGCCCGCCTCCGAGGCACCGGGGGCGCCGCGGGCCGCCCCATGCATGGGCGCTCGCCGCGGCGCCCGCCAGGCGCGCCTCCGAGGCGTCTGCGCGGGCCGCCTCCGCTGGGGAGGCGCTCGCCGCGCGCGCGCCGGCGGCCAGCGCGGCCGGCTGCGTCGCTGAGCTGCCGCCGCGGGCCGCCTCCGTGAAACGCTCGCTGCCGTCGGTGCGCCGTGCGCAGCCGGCGGGGTCGCAGGGTGCTGGCCGCCGGCCGCGGCCAGCCGCGGCCCGGCCCCGCCGCCCGCGACGGCCCAGGAAGATTTCGGCGCCAGCCCGAAGTCCGCCCGCGCCGCAGCGCCCACAGGGGTCGTCCAGCGCGTCGTGCGACCCCTCGAGGTCGTGCTCGCTCGCGCGGGGCGTGTCATGTGCTCGCCCGTGCTCAAGGAACAGCTGTCCGGGTCGTCCCGCGCGCCTGGCCCGGCCCTTCTGGCGCTCCGGCCCGCGCTCAGGCACCCGCCTAGTTCTGGCCCTGCCGCACCAAGAAGGCGCCGTCCCCGAGCTGCCCGACCGAGCAGGCCCAGCCGGCGCCCCGCAGGATCTCGTGGAGATCCGCCGCCGTGCTTCCGGCGCCCTGCCGCGCGGGCGCCGCCGGCGCTGCCAGCGGGGCCGCCGCCAGCGGCGCCGCTGCCGGCGCGGCTGGGACTGACGTCGCTGCGGCTGGAGCCGGCGGAGGCGAAACCTGCGGGGCCGCGGTCGCCGTCCGCGCTGCTGCTGGTGGCGCTGCCCCGGCCGCTGCCCCGGCGGCGGCGGCCGGCGCGCCATGCCCCGCCGCGTCGTTCTCCGTTTCCTCCTCGCCCGAGCTGAAGTAGCTGGAGGAGGGACTCCCGCTGCTTGCGCCCTTTGCCCGGCCGTCCGCCGTCGCCGCCCTCGGCGGGGAAGGCGGCGGGGAAGCGGGCGCGCACGCGCATCTAGACGGCCGAACACACACACACACATACACAAACACATACACACACACGCGCACGCGCACGCGCACGCGCACGCGCACGCGAACACGCACACGCACACGCACACAAACACAAACACAAACACACACACACACACACACACACACACACACACACACACA